GGCGATAAACATCCATGCCATGCCAGAAAGGAGAGGAAAGAGGAAGCACGAGGAAAGGCCAACGAAATCCCATATGAAAAAGTCAGCGGCGTCGTCTGTGACCTTGCGAAAAGTCCAATCAAACATGGTATGTTGATTTTTATATTCTGTTATCCCGCTCCGGCCTATCAAGGAAATAATTTTCGTCACATACCCAAAGCGAAGTGAGTATATTCTTCCTGTACCCCCTCACTTTGTCAAAAAACTTCCCATTTTACGGTCGACAAAAAAATGACTAAACCCAAGGCGATAAACATCCATGCCATGCCAGAAAGGAGAGGAAAGAGGAAGCACGAGGAAAGCCCAACGAAATCCCATATGAAAAAGTCAGCGGTGTCGTCTGTGACCTTGCGAAAAGTCCAATCAAACATGGTATGTTGATTTTTATATTCTATTAATACATTAAGTGACGGGTATTGATTGAATAATCGTTAGGTAACATGTATTGAAGATGTATTGAAGATATGTAACCTTGAAATATGTTGATTTCGTTCCGTCATTGGAATGGGGTAGGGTTTGCCATTTTGAACGTAGAATGTTTGTTCATTTGATTTTTCATTTTCGATGTTACGAATAATCTGTTGTCTATTCACGAATAAGCATACATTGGGAATCTGTAACGTAAATGCATATGGGTATGATCGCATGTGACCTTACTGTAATGGGGATTGGGCTCTGAATGTGATCTTAATATGTGAATCAGACTGAAGTTTGTTGTGAATATGTGACCTGCGTGAAAAGACTTTGTATGCCTGTGATCCGACTGTTAACATGGTTGATGATGTGTTTTTATCCATACGATGTTCATTTCACCTATATGTGACCAAGTGTGTGACCATTTCACCTATATGTGACCAGGTATTCTCAATGCAAAGACACTCATATATACATCTACTGCTTTCCATCACAGTTGTGGCTATAATGGTTGAAGACCAAACCAAATTTAAAAACAAATGAAAAATATATGTCTGGGTTCTCATGTTTAATAACATTTGGTAAGAGTGTCCTCAGCTTGATGTTGCATGATCTCTGCTTCATAGGACATGTGGTTCGCGGTGGGATATGAAATGGGCCCCATGATCACTTGAAAATTTATGTAAAAGTTGTTACTTACAATTCTTAACAGGGTTGAGAATGTGACTGAAACCTATTGAGAATATGTGGCCTGAATGAAAACACTTTGTATGCCTGTGAGCTGACTTTTAACATGGTTGATGATGTGCTTTAGTAATATGATGTCCATATGTGACCAATTTTACATATTTGTGACTTGAATTTAACCTATATGTGACCATATCACCTAAATGTATTTCCATTACTATCTCTGAATTACAGTACATGTACTTAACAATTTTATTATTATTAACGCTTTATGTAGGTCTGACACTTTAAAATACCTTAAAAAAGTTGGTTTCCTAGCAAGATTACCACCTCTGTGTACAAGGGTATTCTCACCACTATATAATCAAAGTTAAGCCAAAGCCAAAAACAGGTATTGAGGGGCACATGCCGTGCCCACTTCCTGGATTGCCATGAAATAGTGATTCAACCACAGGTTGATTCACTACTTCCTTCTGAGGCAGGTTCAACACCCGAATGAGGAAGAAATATGGTTTTATGTTTCTGGGCGATACGTCAGGTTCTCTATATCTGAGTTCTTTTTGGTCACAGGATTGAGATGTTCAGGCGATACAAATACTCAGGTTTTTGAAAATAGACACTCAAAGTTGAAGGCCAAATACTTTTCACAAGTAGATACTGTCACACATGAAGATGTGAAGGACACATTTCTATCTGCATGCCAAATGCCTGATCTCGATATGGTTGAAGCCTTACCAGATAATGATGTTGCAATGTTTGGGGTTTTATATTTCCTAACTGCCTATCTCTTTCCCCGTGACTACAAGAAGGTTGTCGACCACTTCCTGTTTATTTTTGTTGAGGACTTTAATAAAATGAATAGTTTTCCATGGGGCAAGCTGCTATTCCAAATTACTCTGAGTGCATTGAGAGATGGTCTCAGCAGGAGGACCCCANGACATGTGGTTCGCGGTGGGATATGAAATGGGCCCCATGATCACTTGAAAATTTATGTAAAAGTTGTTACTTACAATTCTTAATAGGGTTGAGAATGTGACTGAAACCTATTGAGAATATGTGGCCTGAATGAAAACACTTTGTATGCCTGTGAGCTGACTTTTAACATGGCTGATGATGTGCTTTAGTAATATGATGTCCATATGTGACCAATTTTACATATTTGTGACTTGAATTTAACCTATATGTGACCATATCACCTAAATGTATTTCCATTACTATCTCTGAATTACAGTACATGTACTTAACAATTTTATTATTATTAACGCTTTATGTAGGTCTGCCACTTTAAAATACCTTAAAAAAGTTGGTTTCCTAGCAAGATTACCACCTCTGTGTACAAGGGTATTCTCACCACTATATAATCAAAGTTAAGCCAAAGCCAAAAACAGGTATTGAGGGGCACATGCTGTGCCCACTTCCTGGATTGCCATGAAATAGTGATTCAACCACAGGTTGATTCACTACTTCCTTCTGAGGCAGGTTCAGCACCCGAATGAGGAAGAAATATGGTTTTATGTTTCTGGGCGATACGTCAGGTTCTCTATATCTGAGTTCTTTTTGGTCACAGGATTGAGATGTCCAGGCGATACAAATACTCAGGTTTTTGAAAATAGACACTCAAAGTTGAAGGCCAAATACTTTTCACAAGTAGATACTGTCACACATGAAGATGTGAAGGACACATTTCTATCTGCATGCCAAATGCCTGATCTCGATCTGGTTGAAGCCTTACCAGATAATGATGTTGCAATGTTTGGGGTTTTATATTTCCTAACTGCCTATCTCTTTCCCCGTGACTACAAGAAGGTTGTCGACCACTTCCTGTTTGTTTTTGTTGAGGACTTTAATGAAATGAATAGTTTTCCATGGGGCAAGCTGCTATTCCAAATTACTCTGAGTGCATTGAGAGATGGTCTCAGCAGGAGGACCCCACACTATAGGCTACGAGGAATGCTTGTAGCCTTCCAAGCATGGATATACGAGACTTTTCCCAGTCTTGAGGGATCGTGGTCACAGGATATCGAGGGTGCATCCCCGCATTGTAAACTGGATGGCAGATGAGCAACCATCAACTGTCAAATTGGAAGGACCCGACTACTTCTCCAATCCTAAGGAAAAGTTCCAGTAAGCGTCATGCAATTAATACTGAATTTTTAACTTTGTATTCATATAAACAACATATTGTATTGCAATTTATGATTTGGAACCGTTGGAAAGTGAAATGGCGATGCCATAAATGAACGGAGTCCAATACAACAAGCCGATCTAGCCGACGTCCTCAACCGAGAGCCGAAGAAGAACCAAGCGCAGGACGGAGAGGTCTGTTGAAGATGTCGGTACTAGAGGGAAGTCGGTTCCATCATTCCTATCGTTGATAGACAGTAATATTGGACAAGCTCACTCTTCAGATGATGGCGACGATTTTGTTGCTCCTCCTCCATGACGGTAGAAGCCATCCGCCCTTGGAAAATCCCAGGTTGTTGAAGGTCCTACAGCCGCTCATCATTCTCAAGAGGAGCCACAATCTCATGGGGCACAAAGGGATGACGTAAGTTGTTATTTTAGTCAGCTCTCAATATTTCCATCATTGGTCACATTTCAATATTTCCTATGTCACATTTCATACACATCAGGTCACAGATAGACCAATGTGCATTGTATGTTGATGGTTGGTCACAGATATGTCGCAAGCAACATATAATAATCAGTTATTCATTTTTGTCAGGCTTTTAAGGTGTTGCGTGTGTAAGTATCCGAACTCCAGGCGGATAATAAAGTGTTGAAGATGGAGCTTGAAGACATCAAGTCACATATGTCATCTTTGAACGAAGGGAAGACTAACAAAATGGATGATATTATTCAAATGCAAGCCTGTATTAAAAGTGACCTAATAGATATTCGGGCGAACATGCAGTTTTTATCTGAGTTTGTGTCAACAATGATATCCAGTGCAATGGACGAGATCATTAGACTGTCTGGTGACAGGATAAGGGAGCATGAAGTAGGACAAAAAGAAGCTCCTGGAGTTGGAGATCAAGAACACAAATCCAATTAACCCAAACTATCCTATAAAATTATTGTAAGAGTGAATATTCGACTAGTAAGAGTGAGTATTTAACTTGTACAATTCATATCACATTTCATATGGAGTATATCGATGACCAAACGAGACACCTATTAGTATTTTGAGTTTCCAAAAGATTTCACATTTCGTTATAAAGAATCCAATAGAGTTAACATTTCATTAGGTCAAACCCGAAAGTCTACTAGCAAGCATGCATAACTTAGTGAATATAAAAATATACAGAAACAAACAATCTACGCAAAAGTATCTTACATTGATAGATTTGAAAAGTTGCAAATCATGGGGCTGGTGGATCTAAAAAGCTCAGGAGGTAGTCACTTGATATTTTAGATTTCTGTAAAATAACATAGTTCATTTTGACATTTTTCATTCAACATGTAGGTGGAAAACGTAGAATCAAACGTCGACAGAAAAGGAAAGGGCAAAATGGACCCAAGTGATGATCTTCTTTTCTTCCTTGAGCCACCATCATTTGATTTGGGGATTGAATTCACCCCACCCAATGTTTTGCATTCAGAGGAAACTCAGAAGAGGGTGTATCAGGCAACTTTTTCATACGGTATGTCAGACATTACTGGTCATAGCACACAAGTCACAGATCTGGTATCAGGTTACAGATATGGTCAAATCTCAGAGAATTATTATTCTGACTCCTAAGTTGATGGACAATTAACTGTAAGTTGATCAATCTGAATGCATTCTTTAAAGAAACTATTTAAAATGAACATTATCCTTAAAAGAATATCACCTATCTATGAAATATTTGTATGTAATTCTATCGGTTATTTTGGCGTAATGGAGCCAAGTTGGAGCATCTCCTACGGTTGTGACCATGTCCTTCACAACGTCCGCATTTTGCCGTCGGTCTCCCTTCTCTGGATGATCTCTTTCTTTTCTCTGTAGGTCTTCCAAAACTCCTCTTTTGGTTAGGAGATAACACTATTTCTCGCTGTACTACTTCTGGCACTGTCCATTCCTCTTGATTTCCAACTGAATATACAAAATCTTGGTATGCATTCAAGTACGCATCTCTTGTGTAATAATAGGAACAGTAATCATATGGATCTCTTCTTGTGTTTGCAATTACAGCCAAAGCTTGTGGACATGGTAACAAATCAACTTGTAGATCCTACAAGTGCATGTTCGTTGCTCACTATTGACGACAAACGTTAACCTTTTGTTGCTGACAGAAGACACTGTCTGCTTTGAAGGAGATACCTGCGTGCATATAACAACAGTCAGGTCACATGTAGTTGAATACAGGTCACATATACTCCAACGTGTCGGTCACGCATGAATGACTCATATCCTTGAGTTCATTCATAGATTCAGGAAGCATGTTATATATACGGTCCATACCTCATTTGACAGATAGACATGCATCAGAATATAGAGTTGACAGAGAATACACAATTACATCACATATCACATCACTTAGGCCACAAATTTATATATCAGGTTACACAAATTTGTTCCATTCACAGATAGCTATAAAACAGAATACGGTGCTTCAAACTTAGTTTACCAACCAAGTCACAGAATCACAAAACAGGTCACATCAGATTTGATACATTACAGTTCAAGATACTGACACTTACATTGGGTCACATATACATCTCAATGTTAAAATATAAAAAATTACCCTCAAGTTTCTCAAATCCATGCTCATTTTCCTAATCTCTTTCTCGTACTTAGTCGACAACTTTGTGAAAGTTCCATGTGCATCATCCCCGTGTCTACAAAACCATGATTGTATAGTTTGTCGTAATGACTCTAGGAGGGAAACAATAGGGTAATTTTTGGCTGCCTTTGTGACCGCGTTGATCGATTCCACAATGTTTGATGCCATTGTAGAATACCTATTTGTTGGCATATGTATTTATGACCATTTTTCAGGTCCAACATCAGCTTGCAAACTTAAATCAATCATTAAGTTCATTATGTAAATACCATATGTGACCATTTATATGTATGTGAAATGAAATAAGACTAATTACACTACCA